TTACATGTTATCAGTAGGGATCATATTTGTAGTTATAAAGACCAACGTTAAAAAACAAATAATCAACTGCATTTTCAATTTCAGACTTTGAGAAGTTTTTAGGCAAATCTACAATTGTCTCTTTGATACAATCAAACTTTTGGCAAGCAACTACACTCAAGTCTCTGTATAAATGAACATGAAAATGTGGGAATATATACATGGTCAAGCTACAGTTTGCTTTCCTTTATTTAAATGTCTGTGATATGAAAATACAAAATATTAGGCTAACAGTCATCCACCTAATTAATAAAAAAAAATTACAGAGGAATGTCAGCAAATTTACGCTTGTAGAGTAAATGAAAACTAACACATGTAATGACAGTCTTACAGTAGTCAAATGAAAAGGCAGTTCATATTAAGAAAATTATTCCATCTGTGATTTATTAAACACACTGCATTATCTGCTCATCAGAAACTATGATGTTCAATTCGATATAGCAAAGAGGGAACTTACAAAGTCACGTGATTACTATTTCTTACTAAAAAGAGGCACTCTTATGGTTAAATAACAGAATTACTATGAATGTTTGGCATCCTGTCTACCAGTTAAGATTTTTCAGAGTAAGGTGTAAAACCCTACAGAACACATGTCTTCTCCCTGTGCAGTCTTCTTATACCACCATGGAAAAATAATATCCTGCAAGGTTGGCAGTCCCCAATTTTTGAACAGCATATTACTTTTGTATTTCTTTACAAGCCATGCAAATCTTCACATGGTTTTATTTTCCAAAACAAATGCTTCAACATTTTTTCTAGTAGCCTAGTTACAACCCTACAAAAACAAACCTGGAGAGTGACATATGGAGGAAAAACAAGTTTAGCTAAGGACATAGTTCAAAAAAGCAGCTTCTAATAAACTGCATAAAGCTAAAATTGATTTGAGAACAACATAAATAGTTATGAACAACCTTGAAATTATACTTAAAAATTGCACTTATAAGTATACTCAATGGAGTTCAAAATAAAAATCAAAATATAAATAATATTTATATTAACTTTTGCAAAAAAAAAAAAATTGGAATCTAGACATTTGACTGTGCTAAAAACCCTGCAAGTATGAATGCAAATTCTTCACAAGAACATACATCTCATGAACCAGATGTATCATACAGTACACCCTGGGATAGGAAACTTCAAGCTCTCAACCAATCCAATAAATATCAGGCATAACTATAAAATGTTTATTTTAAACAGTCTAAAGTCCAAATACTTCAAACCGATCACCAGAAAACTAGAATATATATTAACGGAATTCCTCTCCATTTTACAGGGCAATGAGCAAATGAGCAAATGACGATCACCATGAATAAAAATTTCTCTACTTCCCACCACAGAAGCAAAGCAACAGCTTTTGAGGTTAACTTTGTTTTACTTTTTTTCACTTTAGCCCTTTATTTAAAAAACGTACTCTGATATACGTGCCATCACACATACACAAGAGATGAAAGTAACCATATTTGATATTTTCTAGACTTCTGTGTAATTCAAGAACTACTCCACAAAGTTTTGTGAACTCTTCAGCTTCAAGCCTGAAGTCAATCCAAGATAGCCAATAGGAAGTACACCTGTGTAATGACTGCATTTCCTAATCCAGAACGCTGAACACCACACAGAATATCCACATTTGGATATTGTATCTGGAGCAACGATAAATGCCAACCTCAAATTATGCAGAAGCTACATTACCTACAAAAGGCTATCCTAGAATAGCATTATTTAAAAGCAACAAACATGAAAAACATTACTTTAACTTAGAATAACCAACCAAAGACCTTGTATGAACAAGCAAACATTAAAAATAAAAGACCCTATAGTCAGTTACAATGTGCAAATATTCCTAGAAGAAAAACTGGAAAAGTAAAGCTGAATCACAAGTTCTACGCTCTAAATTGAATCACTTATCAACCAAGTAAGAAATCTATTTTATCAGATGAGCAGACGAAAAAGAAGGATGAAAGAATCCAAATCATAGTGTTCTATTTTATAGCATCCCTAGTTTTCCTAAGCATATCATAATCCTTTTAAACGTTTAAAAGTTTCTCAAAAACACAAAAAGAAATTATCATAACAATTCTGGTCACCTGAGGCATCAACTTGCTATAATATGTAAAAATATTCTGAGATTCGGTCCAAAAGAGAGGTTCCTACTTTTTTTTTAATTCCTAAAGTCAGAATTTCAAAAGGCAAAGGAGTTTCCAAAACAAAGAAAAAATTTTCCCAAGGGATACAAAGTTTCATGGACTATCTTTAACTCTTAGCAGCATCACCTCTCTGCCCCTAGCTGGCTATCAAGCAATCAATAACAATGTCACAAAAGAATGTTTACCACGATGGGGGGGGGGGGGCGCTGGTTGGAGTGTCACCTGTAATGATCCTGCAGGAAAAATGTAAACAATCCCAAAGTAGGTGAGGGGAAACTTTCCCCTTCCTCCAATCTCACTTTGTACCTATTTAACGTTTCTCACATTGAAATGGACAGAGATCAGAAACCTGGTCAGGGTGGCTGGGGTTTTTCTTTTTTTTTTTTTTTTTGGTTGGCGGGTTGGTGGGCTAAAACCAAATCCCCCCATCAGTACCCTATTTCCACAAGACATAGAAAGAGGCACCACTACTCACCGCAAGTAATACTGTTTTAAAGCAAAGGCAGCATTAGAACAACTTCTGGGAAAGTTGAACTCTTCCACGATTTCTCCCCACTGGTTCTTCTCAGAAACCTGTTAAAAACACAGCCACACTCGTCTCAAAGTGCACAATCCAAGAAAAGTCCAAGCCAACCGTGAGCCGAAGACCCATTCTACAGAGAACAGCAGCCACCGCCAGCATCAGTGGGTGTTTGGGATAGATCCGCGAGAGTTACCCGGCAGGGGCGGCCCGGATCGCGGGGTTCCCGCCCCGGGGGGCCGAGTTTTCCCCGCACATGTTTTGTTTGGGGGGCGAGGGGGTGGTGGTGGTGGGTTTGTTTTGTTTTTGAAGCCCGGACAATAACCAATCGCAAGTCCCTCTGTCGCCCCCTTTTAAATCTCTACGCGGTCCGTTTACACGAAAAAAAAAAAAAAAAAAGTTCAAAAGGATCAATACTGTTCCGGACAGCGACGTCGGCAGGTTCTGGGGGGGCCGGGGCCGGGGCCGCTTCGGATCCCTCTCCCAGCTCTATCCATCTCCATAGGCCCTTCTTTGAGGCCTACAGCTTCTGCCTAGCCTTGAAGCCTAAGATGGCTATTTGGAGACAGGTCCTGGTTTCTTTTGTTAGCGGTAGAAACCGAGGGCGACGGGGCCGAGGCTGTGCCCCCGACTGCCGGGATCATTTCGCAGCCGATTATCGATGTTAAACCTGCCCGCGCTAATTTTGAGTTGCACGAAAACTGCTCTCAGAGTGTGTGTGTCTCGGGGCTAGAGCGGCAGCGGCGGCAGCGCAGCCGAGCGGGCGGGCGGCGCGGGGCGGCGCGGGGCGGCGCGGGGCTCGGCGGGCGCCCCGCACGCCGCACCCCCGCCGAGGCGCTCGGCCCCGCGGGCCGCCGGGCACCGGGCCGGGCGCGAGCCGCCGGGGCCGCCCGCCGCCGAGCCCCGCGCCGCCGCGCGCACGCGAGCACCAGGCCGAAAACAGCCCGCCGCGTCCGCCTCCGAGCCCGCGGCGCCGGGGAGCGCGCCCGGGGCCCCCGCCGGCCGCCCCCCGGGCCCGGGCGCCCGCCGCGGGGTCGGGGGCGACTTTCCGGCGGAGGCCGGCGGGAGGGAGAGCCCGACCCAAACTTCCACTCACCTTCGCGAAGCCGCCCAAAGTAGTGACTCTGGTGTAGAGACCGTGCAGATCCAGCTCCTTCCCACCCACCGCGGGGATCTTCTTGAACGGCGACCTGCGGGAGCGAGAGAGCCCGCACTTGTCACCGGACCCCGCGCCGCCCGCGCCCGCCGCCCCGGCCCGCCGGCCGCCCCCCGGCCGCCTCTCACCCGCGGCTGTGGTGGAACTGCCGCAGCTCGTCCAGGAACGCGAGCCCCTTCCTCCGCTCGTCCGGCGGCGCCTTCCCCGTCGAGTTGGCCATAATCGGTCGCAGGAGGCCTCTCGGAAACCCGGATCGGCGTTTTAGAAGCGCCCCCCGCGCCCTGCGCCTCCTACCAGCGCCCGGAGCCCATTCCTCGGCCGGCGGCGGCGGGGCTCAGTCATGGGCCGGCGGTGGCGGCGGCGGCGGCGGCGGCGGCGGCGCAGGGAGGAGGGCGGGAGGGGGAGGAGGAGGAGGAGGAGGGGAGGGCGGCAGCGCGGCCGGGGGGAGCGCGGCCGGGAGGGAGGGGAATTTCGAAAAAAGTTGAAAGAAATCCGAGCGAAACTAGAGGGGCAGGCGACGGCCGGATCGCGCGGAGCCGCGGGGCGAGCGCGGCCCCCACCCCTTCCTCCCCGCCCTCCCCGCGGCCGGGCTCCCGCCGGCCTCTCAGCGCCGCCGGCCCGGGCGGCTCCGCCTGGGGACGCGATTCAACATGGTGCCGCGGCCGGGGCGCGCGGCCGGGCGGGCGAGGGGCGGGCGGCGAGGGGCGAGGGGCCGGGGCGGCCAGAGGCCCGGAGTTTGGCGGCCGCGGCGGCGGCGGCGGCGGCGGCGGGGCTGGGGCAGGCGGGGCTGGGGGTGGGGAGGGGGAGGTCTGTGTGGTGGTTTGTGGAGAGCGGGCGCCGGCGCGGGTTCCGGCCGCGGCTCCGCGGGGCCTCGCACACATTCACGCGCGGCCTGGGCCGCCGCGGCCGGGCGTCCCCGGCTGAAGGCACGGGCGGCCGCCGAGCCGCTGCGCGCCGCCCGGCCGCGTCCCTCCCGCCGGCCTCGCTCTCGGCCGCCGCCGGCGCCGCCGCCACGGCTCGGCCGCCGGCGCGGCACAGCGACCCCCGAGGGCCGGCCGCGGCACTGCGCCCGGCTCCACACCGCCCGGCGGCTCCTCGCGGGGAACAATAGACTCGGCTCGCGGCTTAGGGTTCATCTGCAATGTGCCGCACATTTCACACGCACACAAAGCCAGCGGGGAGGGGGCGGCGCGGGGAAACGGCCACTACCGGTTGTTCCAGGGTTAGGGGTGGAGGCGATGTTCGCGTCCCCGACCCGGCTGTTGGCGTCGCCGCCTCCGAGTCCCCGCCCGCCGCCCGGCCCGGCGCGGCGCGGGGAATGGGGCGACCTCGCCGGGGCCGGGGCTCAGCCCCGCGGCGCTCGCGGACCCGGGACGAGGACACTCGGGACTCGGGCCCCCGGGCCTGGCGGGACCGGCGCTGGCAGCCTCGGCTAGGACTCTGGGGCCTGGTCGGCGCGTTGGGCGTGAACGATCCGCCGCCGAACTCGAGCCAACTGTGGATTCCACGCCGTGCGGACCGTCCGGGTCGTGTGGAGGCGGCGGCGCTCCTCACTCCTGCGGCCCCGGCCGGGCTTCACGTGCAAACGAGACGCTTCGACGCCGAGTTATGCTCACAGTAACGAGGCTGGGGAGGGGACAGCCCTGCACTCTGGTCCTGGGCGCGTTGACATGTTTCTACCAAGGGATCTGAGCGCGAGGTGCGCTGCAAGGTGGGAGCAAGCCTGGCGTCCCCCTGCTTTCCGCCAGCGCCTGCAGTGTGCGAAGGTTCACCAGAACCTTCCGTGGGAGCGGACGTCTCAATAAACGCCCCCTAAGTTTGCACTGACGAGAGGTCGGGCCTGCGGAGCCCTCGCCACAAGTGCTCACTAAGCGCCCCCGTCGGGGAAGCCGCCTATTATTCCCATCTCAGTGGTGACCAACCCAGGCCCAGGGGCTGCCTGGCCCAAGGTCACCGAGCAGTCGAGTCAGGACGGGTGGCCGTGGCCGTGGGGGCTCCCACAGGGGCCTTTCTGGGGGGTGGGGTGGGGGGTTATGTAACGTCGGACGGCGCGCTTCCGGTGCTCGCTCGAGGAAACGGGTTTATTTCCCGAGGAGTTTGTGTCTCAAACGGGGTCGGCGTGAGGCTGTGGCTGGAAGTTCCGGACGCGAGGGCCAGGGCCGGCCTCCGACGCCGCGAGGGGCGGAGACCGGCCGGGCGCGGGTGGATACGCCGGGCGGCCGCGGGAGGCCGGGGCGGGCGGGGGCCCGGGTCCGCGCGCCCTGCCCCCACGGGCCTCCTAGGGGTGGTGGAAATGTGGGCCGCCGAGAAGCGCGGCCCGGCTGTGCGGATTCCCTGAGCGCCGCACTTGCGCACAGCCCCTTACGTAACTGTCAGCGCCGGGGATTCCCTAGAGGGGGTCATTCTCTTCAACCATTACACACACCCCGGGCTGCCGCCGCCGCCTCACAAAATGGCGGCGCCCATGGAGGAAACAGCGGCCGCCTCCTCGGCCCCATTTTGTGGGAGGTGAGAGATCTGTCAACATGGGATACCTCCGCCGAGGACGCCGCCGCGCTGGGAAATGTCGCTTCGGGGCTGCAGCCGAGGGGAAGCGCGCTCGATGGGAAGTGCCGGCCGCTGAGCTTTAAATTTTTCCCCCTTTGCTCCGAAGAAGCCGCCGGGTGATCGTCGCCGCGGGGAGCTGCGGCCGACGGCGCGGTGGCTGCCCGCGGCGGTGGGTGACTCGGTGCTTTCTCCGCGCGCCCGCCGGCGGCTGCGGCCTCGCTGGGGCTCCGCGCGCACGGCGGGCCCGCCGCGCCGCTACTTCCCGGCTGTTTCTGGGACCGGAGGGCACGGACCCGTCGGGGCCCTAGTCGGAGTCGGACGAGCCGGGAGCTGCTGCCGGTGCGGGCGGCCGCAACCGGGCCCCGGACGGTGCTGGGGGGCAGCAGTGGGCCCGGAGGCGTCGGCGCTGAAATCGTCGCGTCCTGTCCGGACCTGGGGTTGTGTGTTAACGGGGTCTCGGGTGAAAGGTTAGGACGTCTTTTCTGGGAGCCCAAGCCTGGTGGTCTCACTTCTAATTGGAAGAGGAGGATGGGAGAGGTGACAGGACATTTCATGTTGATGTTTTCCAAGGGGGGTTGGCCACGTTGAAGCCACTGTTTGGTATTCAGATGTGGGTTTGCACCCACACATGCCTGTACGGTGGTGTGTTTTGCTTTTTTCGGTGCAGATATGAAGGCTTAAGACTGGGAGTGGGATGCTGACGTTTAAATGCTTTATTTAAAAAATGTAAGATGGGATGAAGCTGGAGAATTGATCGGAAAAAAGGGCTTTTCTGCAGAAGAAACTGTCATCTTCAAAATGGAGTCAGGGATATCTGATAAAATGTAAATTACACTTTGGATATGCCTTAGGCAAAGAAAAACCAGAAAACTTGCTGTTTATTGCATAACTGCGTAGTACAACTTCTTCAAAACTAGAAAAATAAATGGCAAGGGAAGGGAAGCTATTAACGGTATTTGCTCTTAGGAATGTTAGAGTTTAAAGAAAGGAGATTATCTGGTGAAAGTTAAATATGAATTACACGAATTATTTAAACTTTTTTGTTGCAGCAGACGTATTTCCGTGCTTTTAAGAAAAAAAATAATTTAGCTGTTTTGTTTATGTTGGTTTGACTGATAATTTCCTCATGGTGCAAATCTGCATTTTTTTTGAAGGCTGCAACTCAGTCAGTTCCATGCCCCATCTCCTGCCGCACCCGGTTGCTATTCTGGCATGTGGGTTACCGAGATAGAGTTTTTGGTCCTACCTGTTTCTACTGATGTCCTTTACATTTAATAAATTTAGTTACCTCTAATCGGTGCGTATCCTTTGCGAGAATACCCATCTTAGCACCCAAGTGCCCAGAGAATTTTTTTTTTAATGGGATTGCAGGAATAGTAATCCCCCTGCCTAGTATTACATTTCTTTGTACCATATTGCATTTCCTATAGTGGGCAGCATAGAGCAGGTGGAGACTGAAAAAACGTAGCTATGCAAATACTTTTACAATAGTTATTAATTTGATGAGATATAAAATGAAATGTAGTTCATAGTTTTCAAGAATTCCTATTCAAATGACCAATAACTGAAAATTGTTGGAACTCCATTTGTAGGGCTTGCCATTGTGATAAGAAATATTGACAAGTCCTTTTTGATGTGGAAAAAAAAAATGCGAAGCCTCATTTTAATAGTCGCTGCAAGCCCTGAATATTGTAATTAGGTTTCTGTTCTCTGCTCCATATCAATATTATTTAATCAAGAAATTGTGATGTTTCTAAAATAATTTGCTCATTCAAGTAAGCTTTAAAAAACTTACACACATTTAGGATTTCCAAATCAAGCGTGTGGGGTATATGCATGATTACAATAGCTGAAAGAAATAATTGAAGAAATTATATATCCATTCGAGGAATTTTGGATTTCAGGTTACTCAGGTTTCAAAAATTGGTTGAACTATTGAACTTCGGTTTATTCGTCTTTAAAGGTCTTAAGAAACCATTGATAAGATGGGGGAATACTTTCACTACTTGCTGCGTTTGCAGTATTTTAAGATATATTGCAAAAATTAATGAAGTATTTATCTTCTGCTGTTACTTTTTTGTGTGGGCAAACTTGTTTTAGTTGTAATTTGATTACAGTGTCAAATAATAAATGAGGCCTTTTCTTCAGATGGTGATTCTTAAGGAGTACTGGTAAATAAGCTTTTAAAAAGTGAGAAAATAGTTTATTCTTCTGCAGATTAGGGTAATTGTAATGTAGATGTTCTGAATTTGTCCCTAAGGAATTTGTCCCGAAGGCATTTGATAGCATTTGGGGATTTTTTTGTTTTGTTTATTTAAATAGATTGTAGAAGTTATATTTTTTACTTAACTCTAATACATTTTATTTAAGAAGTGAAATTTACAACTAAAAAAGACCTTTCAGTAATATTTAGCTAAAAAATTAAATATTAGCCAATTATAAGAGTCTTTGGGGAAACATTCCCAAATGTGCTTTTGATAGGAAATTGGGCCCATTAAGTTGTTTATAGAATCTTGAATTTTAAAAGTTGTTATGGATTTGAGGTGTTAACATTTTGTATTCTTATTTCATCTGTTTCCATCACTGAAAAGTAGACTCCAACTAGGCTTATTATAGTATAATTTCAGTTTATATTTGCTTGCCGCTTTGTAGTATTTAATACCTTTTAATACATGGCGAGCATAAATACTAAACCAAGGAAATATTTCTTCTCATCAATGCAGATCACTAAATCATTGAGTAAATATTTATTGAGTGCCTATTTTGGGCAAGAGGTGGGGGAAGAGAAATTGATTTAGCCCTCAAGGAAATTATACTCCGTTATTTGATTTTTCTTTACTAGCTTTAAAATATTGATAGTATATTCACACCATAGGCTTCTTAATTTTTAATACTTAAGCAGTATCTTTAGCATGGAGTCAAATTCAAAATTTTTGTTTAAAATAGAGACAAAATATAATTATGTACCAAACAGCCTTGCGTTAGTATTTGGATCAATATTAGTATTAGTGTTAAAGTGCTGTAAAAATATTAATAGCTTTAAATCACATTCTTTGAAAACTCAACTTCAAAAAATAGGATTCCAGTAATTAACTTTTTATTATGGGAAAAGCAAGGGGATGGTCAGTGAATGTAAAAAATATACTACTGTGGGCCTCCCCAGGTGGCGCAGCGGTTGAGCGCTGCCCTGCAGCACCGGTTAGTTCCCCGGCCGCCGGCGAGGGTCCCACAAAATATATATATATATATATATATCTACTACTGTGCAAACAAATATTGTTTTAATGAATTTTGATTTTCTGTTTCAATTTTTTGGTACATTGACTCTTCTGACATTACTATTAATTAAAAAAAACTAAATCCCAAAGACAAATTAATTCAGAATTTAATGCAAATCTAATTATTGACTAAACTGTAAAGCTTAAGGAGTTGGCAATCTTGTTGATAAAACAATAGGAATGAAGCTGAAATCAAAACTAGCTTATATAATAATTACTACGCTTCACGAAAGCATATGCAGTTTTTTCCTTTATAACTAATAAGAGTAGTATTAACTTTATAATTTATTTTTCTCTGAAAACATACCACAAACTATATGCACTATCAAAATGGGAAGTCAGCCAAGGACTAGTGTAAATTGTTAAGCTTATTGTACGCATTAAGGAAAATTCAATTTTTTTTAATGCCATGATACTTTAACATAATTTGTGGTATGTAGAACTCAGTTAATAATAGAATAATCTTATAATGTACATGAGACATAGTTATAAACAGTTCTTTAGGGGTGCAAAATAACTGAGTATTTCACAGTTAGCTATAGTGCTACCAGGTATTTTAAACGATGAAAATTTTAGAATGTTGTGCTGCATTTTTATAAGCAAATCTCTCTTATTAACAATACTAATGTTAATAACAGCCATTAGTGATATACAAATATGTGTGTGGGTCCTGTTATAATGTTTTAATTCTAACTGCATTTAAAGACAGATTTTTCTCAGTGTTAATCAGGGGTTAAATGACCCATGCTTCTGTTCTTCTGGAAGCAGTAAAGAAGCTTGCATTTAGTAGTATGCAGGAATTTGCCTTCTTCCTATTGAAAAAAATCCATCCCTTACAGTGCCTTTTGCTAACTTTTTTTTTTCCTCCATTAACGTTGGGGCTAGCAAAGAATACTACAATAAGTACTTATAAATACTCCACCCAGGGTGGGTCTGTGCCCACTGCAAATACTCTTCTTCTACTTCTCCATGTTTTCAATGTCAATTTCTAAAGAGACTTTGGTAATAACAGTATTACAATATCCCCAGCTAGAGCATAGTCAGCTTGTCTGTGAATAGTGTTCATGGAGTCAGTGGCCCTGTAAAACAAGGTGTGTTTATTGCATATTTCTAGGGAGAAGCTCTCAGCAGGAAGGGCATGTTCAAAGGGCCGGATGATGCCTGGAAGTTAATGCTCTGTAGTAAATTTACAGGGTTGTCTTCGGTGCTGCTTTTTATTTTGTGTGGTGGTGTCTCAAGAAAGGTCTTTTGGAACGGAAGTTAAGGAAGAGTACCATTTAGTTCATCATATTTTAAGGATAGCAGCAGACAACTCTATTCCTAAAAAAACTACAGTAGATTTCGAAAAATATTTGGATGAAATTCTTTAACCATTAGTCGATTTGTCCTCTGTTGGAAATGTATGGATAAGGGAGTAAGTTAGCTCCAAACAGGCCCCAAATATAATTCCTCAGCTGACTAGTTGGGAGGCCTCTGGTGTTTGTGAGTTTATCATCACTTTGTGCATGGTAGCATCTGCTTTGAGAGTGAGGGTGAAGTGATCTCCTCATACCAGTGACCACCCAGGTCCCCCTGCCATCTTCTTGTTCTTTGTGCTTGCTCTGCAGTTCCCTGATGCAGCTTCTGAAGAAGGTATCTAAGAGTTTGGCCCAGACCTTGCTTTTGTAGAGACCTGTCAAAAAG